CATAATTTTTGCCTGCAAGGGTTTGAATATTTATCTAGCCTTTCCCTGAGAATGCACTATGTGCCGGGTTTTTACCCTGGTGGTTGATTTTGAGGTTGCTGGTTATTGTAGGATGCTTTGCTACTCACTGATTCTCTCATTCCCAGGGTATGTCCATGCTGTAAAGGTTGCTATGGCTGAACTTTGATGGAGACCCACCCTTGGTAGTTTGCATGCAGCTGGCTGCATGGGCATGCTCGTTTTCTGCTAGGCAACCCTGGAGTATTTACTCAGTTTGTGTAATGAAGTCTACATTGAGTGGCTGGTTGCAATTGAGCTAATTAGCCCAAAACGACTCTGGGTGACAGATGGGTAGAAGAAGCCAGAGCACCCAACACAGTTTCCATTGCCTTGCATTATTGCAGAGGATCTGGGATGGGAAAAATGGTTAGCATGGTCTCCCCATAGCACAGCAGGTAGGCTCACACTGCACTCCCCTGAGAACTAGTGCAGCCACCACTGCAGGGCGAAATTATATGGAGGTAGCAAAGGAACTGGGGACGGCTTCAATCTGCATATATCCAGCTTTGTGCTTAGGTGTGGGTGCTTTCTTCAGCTGACAGTGGCAGTGTGATGGAGGGCAGGTGGCGGGGCAAAATTGGATTTGGGATCTCCAAAATCCCTTGGTCTCTCCTCCCCTTGCTTTGCAGCCATCCTTCCAAGGCACAAAACTCCAGCATTTCACAGATAGCTTGGGGCTGGCAGACTCTGTGGTGCAAGGAAATGAGAGCTTTGAACTCTTTTCAGGGCATTTGTCATAACCAGAAGCCAGTTCTCATTCTGGAGAGCAGAGACACTGCCCTGCAAAGTGGTGGTATGGAGAGGAAGTGAGAGAAAGTCAGGAAAAAGCTGGAAAGCTGAAGCTGACCTGCCTTGTGCTGCAAGAACTCAAAGCCCTGTGTCTGACTGCCTGAAGCTTCCTGTCTTCTACAGCTGGCAAGGCTGGGTTTGCACATGGCTCCAGTGTATCAGGGCTGAAGTTTCAAACCAGCTGTGCCTCTGCCTTAAAATCACAATGCTGGCTTGAAGTTGCTGATACCAGCTCTGAGTGGGCTCGGCTCTCTCGGTCGACAAGCTGGGTAGAACACTCCTTTACCTGCCCTTCCTTCCCAGGAGGAGAACAGGATCAAGCCCAAATGTGCTGGTAGACAGCTATGAAATCCCCCTAGCTGGAGGCCATTTGCCAGCGCTGAAGATTTCACAACCTGGTGAGGACCAAGTCTGCCCTTGCTGTGCTCCCTGTCCATGCTGCCTGGTCCAACGAAGCTACTTGGAATCACAGGGAGAGACCACAGGAATTTACAGCTGAGCTTGCCACTGCCAAGACAACTCTCACAGCTCTACCCCACTGGCTAATCTTCAGTGCTGGCAAACCCTGTGCCAGAAACACTTTGCTGGGAGAGCACGGGTGGGATGCCTGTGTGTGACTTTACTCCATAGCGCCATGCTGCTGGGATCATCCAAACCTGTCAGATATAGCCAGAGAACATGTTAGATCAACAGGTGAGGTGCCTTATCTCAGAGTGCCGTGCCAAAAACCACCTTCTTCACAGTAGCTGTCAGCCACCAGACACACCACGTACTTAGCTGTATATCTGGCAAGTGTGCTAGTATATACATGAGCCTGTTAAATAACCCAATGCACAGGTGATGCATCCATCACAAGATGCAGGCGTGGTCCTGACTTTGGACAATGGAGAATTGAAATGCTGCTGCTGTGGATGTTGTTGCAAGCTGGAGACACGTCAAGAACCAAGCCCCAGGTTGGAAGGATGAAATGATGAAGAGATTATTCAACTTTAGATTATTACACATCTGCTTCAGAGGATGGGCTGTGTTTACAAGTGATACCAGAGGTACTCTCATTGTGATAGCGGTGAAAAATCTCCAAGCTAATGGAAGGGACTGGATCCAAGCTCCAGTGCACCAAAAGCAGCCCTGACTTCCTGGGTGGGGGATTCTGGCCACATGGCAGTTTGCATGGGTAGAAATCTCCCATCATTTCAAAGAAATGCATTAGAAGCTTTTCTTTGCAACACTATCCTCCAGACACAGGTTTCCTTTAGAAAAAGATTTTCTGTGGGGTTGTTCCTTTTTCTTGATGTTTTTTTCCTGCAAGGAAAGCAAATCATTCACACTGAATCAGGACCATCTGCATTCGAGGCACTGGCAGCTGCAGGAGACACTGGCAGCCTTTTCCATGCTGCTGTCCCCATCAGTTCAGCACTGACCTTCCCACTGGATTTCCAGTCACATTGAAACACTAATGTATTTTATGAGATAGTATTTGATGTGTACTGGCCTGAGAGAAGCAGCTAACCAGCAGGTAACCTGGACCATGTAGGCTTGTCCAACCTCAGGCTTGGACATGCATTTAAACTCTCTTGGGAGAACTGTGGCCCAGAGAACAATACAGGAAGATTTGGTTGGGATCACACAGGGATTGGAGTCTCCGTATTTTGTGAGGCGCAAATATCACAACTATTTTTGCAACTTTTTGCTATTTTTTGATTAACCCTTCTCTCAAGGCTGGTTGCATTTTCCCATAGTTCAATTAACAGCAATACTGCCTCATCCCTTTGCAGTCTCTCGCATGGAACTCTCTAAATATTGTAAAGCTAACCTTCCCAACACCCAGTTCCGGTAAAATCACTTTCTACATCTACAAAGGAGAAAGTGAGATATGAGAAACTAAATAATGGCACCCAAATCACAGGGAATGTCTATAGCAAGACAGGAAGTGATTCAGATATCTCAAAGACTAACCCAGTTCTTGAAAGCTTGGTTCTTCTTCCAACTTTAAATCTAAAGTAGGGAAACACAAAAATCCACATCTCTGCTGAACAGGGGAGGGGAAAACCCTACCTAGTTCTGTCATTTCAGCTGTGTAAACTAATGAATGTCATTGCAATTGTAGTGTTTTACAGTGAGTTCTCACATTGCTTTGGCCTGTGCTGTGGGTGGTGACATCATGTGGTAGTTAGGTCACTACTGTAAAGGAATAAACATAAACTGCTCACTCAAGTCTAAAAGTTATTAAGAATGTCACGAGTGTTGCACATGGTTATTCAGAAAAGATGAACAATTAGGCACAGTTTTGTCTACACAGGGAAAAACAAATGTTCTAAGAGTGGTCTAACCTCCTAGAAAGTCAGAGAAGTGCATCTACACATGAAAGTGCTCCAAATATTTGCAAGCTTTCTAGAAGTCAGCTGCAGAGAAACAGATACTTAGCAGCTATAAGCCTAGGTGTATTTTGAGCCAGTTTCTCTTTCACACTAAATTGTATTTGCACCCAAGTTAGAGCCCGTTTGTAGCATAGCGGAATCATACAGAGGTAAATTTACTTAGAATCTGGATCACATAACACCTATATGGTCTCATTCTGCTATTCCTTATGGTGACAGGACACAGAACTACATGTCTAAGAGATACATCTCCAAAGAGGGAGGGAGTCTGCTCTCAGTTGCACTAATATAGATCACTACTAACTTTATTGGCTTCGATTAAACTGCTCTGGATTCACCCTAGTGTAAACGGAAGAGGCATCTTTCTCATAACATAATCTTAGCTCATCAAGTCAAACAATTTATTCATGGAATAGGCATTCTTCAAACCCTGATTTCTGTGGAAAAATTTCACTAAAGTTGCCAGGCATTAGCAACTAAGCGAAGACACTTTAGCAAATTTTCCCCTTGAAGCAAGAAAATATTAAAACTTTTATTCACAAAAGCTCACTGGTCCTGCATTCAATGGAAAACCTTACAGGGAGCCAAATATTATAGAACTATGCTTCTCCACCAAAAAAAAAACTTTGTTGTTTCATATCCAGTTAAGTTTCCTGACAGTGCTACATGCAGTTACTTATGCTTTAGGCCAAATATATTCCTGAAGTAACCCCAAACCACTTTGTTGATTTATGTCCGAGGTGTGTAAATTGACCAGGTAGATAGTTAAGGGGGCTCAGAAAGATGTTGAATCTCCATCCTTCAGAGAGGATCATTCAGAACGCAGCTGGACATGGTCCTGAGCAACTGGATGTAACTGTCTAAATTGCAAGGAGAGTTAGGGAATGTAAATTTTTTGGCTCCCATAGTGATTTCACTTCACCCATGTTGCGGACCTTGAACAGACACTAAGTTTGCAAAGGTCAGGTGCAGCTCTTGCTCTCTTCCCAGCTGCATGTTCCTGCATGTCTGCTGGGTGCTTAGAGCATGTGTGAAATGATTGCGGAAGCACCCAGACATTTAATTCCACTCAATAGGAGGAGAAAATACTTTGCAGGAGAGATGTAGTTCTATGGTATCCTGCCTCCCGAGACAGCATCATCCTGTTAAGTGACATTAGTCCATTCTCTTGAATGGTTTCTCTTTCTGCCCATAAACACACATAAATATATAAAATTTCACTGTCCCTTACTCATAAATATGAACACAGATTTTACAAGATATAGAGGGGAATACCTCCTGCCTCTCACAGAACTGTTCCAATTCCTATTCTGCAAACCTTGCTCTGTAAAAATGCCGATGAAATTTAAATTTATGTATCAAAAAATATACTTTTAACATGTTTTCAGAGTTTCACTTTGGAATGTAAGACTTTAATGAATGAAAAAATGCAGGAATATTTCCTGATATTTGTCAGAATTAATTATGTAATTAATTGAAAATGGTTAAGGTTTCTAAGAGCAAGAACGTGCTGGACTCTTACATGGGTATTTTTGTCACTGCACTTGGACAGCTTTCACACTTGATGTTGTGTTAGTCTGAAATTGCATGAACTGCAGTGGCAGACAAAGCTGATGATAGACACAACTGAATTTTTGTTTCTGAGATGTCATGAGTATCTGCCTCAGCAGGGGAAGAGATTCACAACCCTTCTGTCCCACTTGAAAAGGGAGTCAGAAACGTTAGTGGAACTTTTTTTCCCTAGCTACAAGAATTGTTTTGAAGGTACAGTACCTTGTCTCCTGGCTGTGGGCGCATCACAGATACACGGTCATAACCTTTCCGCAGCAAGACCCAGAGAGCATCCAATTTCCCCTGCAATCCAAAGAAATATAGTGTGTTAACTTCAGTACAAGAACAAGCACATTGTGCAGAGTGCAATGCAGGGACAATGCAGACATAAACGTTTTTTACCTATTTGCTGTGCTTTCAAAAGATGCTGAAGAGCAATGTTTTCTCTCCTAGAAACTCCCTCAGCACGTGCCACAGGTGCAAAGGATGAGGCTTCCAGATGAGCAATAAGCAGACTGACAATCGATGGTATCCCTGTGTCTAGCTTTCATGTATACTTTAGAAAATCTCCAAAGGTAATAGGTGACTTGGATCTAGAGTGCCTAGAGTGCTCTTGAGACCTGGTATCTGGTGGTGTTTAGTTTTGTTAGCTGCCTATGAATCCAATCTGCCCTCGTGCCTCTTCTAACAAGGAAATTGGGCCATGAGGTCTTTGTAAAGAGAGACAGGAGAGAGAAAGGCCGAAAAGTGTGCCAGGGCCACACATGGCATAGCAAATCCTTAAGCAGCCTCAGCTTACGATGCATTTGAGATTTCTTTCTGGGAGCACCAGCTGTTGCTTCAACCTCGGCCTTGAGGCAGGTCCTGCAGATGAGTCGTTGCGAATGATCAGTGAATTTAGCCTTGTCACATGTTCCTTTCTGTGTAACTGTTTAGAGACTGCCCGTAGCCCTTTTAAAGTCAGCCAGGTACTATAAATGCCTTGAGGAGGAGGGAGAAAGAAGAGGTAGGTAGGTAGACCAGTAGGTAGAAGCAAAGGTTGAAACAGAGGTAAAAAGAAAGCTGTTAACCAAACCAAAGCAGGCAGAGCTGTTTGGCTGGCTGTAGCAGGCAACACGTCCTGCACCAAATTAGGATGAAAGGCACGGTCCTTTATGATCTTCACTTGCATCTATGTTTCGTGCTGTCCTTCCCTCTGTCAGATGGACTGAGGATTTGGCAAGTTCCTTGAGAAGCTTTTAGACTTGTCATGCTCCTTGGATTATTTGCACTGACCTTTTAAACTGCTGAAATGGTATTTTAAAAGGGGGAAAATCCAGCTGGCATCATGCTAAGAACTAGCAGCAGCAAATAAGAATAATAACAATAATAATAACAATCTTTTAAGTGTCGGTAGCCACATTTGGCACCAGATAAAGCCCTGGGGCATTTCAAACAGCAATCTATCCATTCTCAGTTAACAGCTGTGTACCTACTATACAGACATTACTTTGCAGAGTGGATGTAGAGGGAAAAAAAACCTCTATCAGATAAGCTGGCAAAAGGCAGGACACTCCCAGTAAAGGCTGCTGCTTGTGCTGCACGGAGAGATGGAGGCGTGTTGGACAGCGAGATAACTGGCCCTAAAATGTGAATTTCCTGGCTTTTTGTCAGATCCAAGCTATCTTGGTTCAGTGTTCCTGATTTTAATTCCTTGCTCTCCTCCTCTCGCAAGGTTTTTTTCCCTTAAAGTAGCTTGTTACATGCGTATTTACCTACTTTCCAAAGAGGTATTTCAAGGAGTCCAGTGGAGCAGACGGAAATTTAACATCTGCTCTAACCGAAGGTATCGAGTGCATTTGGAGCATGGGGACAAGGGAGAATTTAAGCTGAATATCAGAAACATTTCCTATGGGTGAGGCCTGTTAGTCTGTGAAATATTTCCCCTGAGAAGTGGTGGAAGCTTCTGTGTTATTTTAAAAACCAGACTGGAAAAAGTAGTGAAGGATAGACTCGAGTTAGCGATCCTGCTCTGGCTGAAAGTGCAGACCCAATGACCTAATAGGCTATCCCTCCTCGCCTCCCTCTGCATGTTATGACTCCGTGACAGCTTCTCTGAATAACACAATGCAAATTCATCTTCATATGCTCATGTCTTCTGGACAAAAGTTTCTGCCAAGAGTGCTGATGAGTTTTGCCAATTTTGCTAATTCCTTACTGCTCAGGAAGAGCAACAGCAGGACCTCTGCCTCATAGAAATCATCCCCTGTTAATGATGAGTGCTCATGGTTGCACTTGGGGAAGTGCTGAGTATAGCTATTCTGTCTGTATACGCGGTCTTTCGGGGTGCAGTCCAGTAAGGGGTGTGGTGGGGATTAATAATTAGGTAAACTTTCATCTACAGATAGACTTAGGCTGCTAAACACCATCCACATGCGGAATATCTCGAAGTTAGGGAATATTTGGATTGAGGGTCTTGGCCTGGACCTGTCCTTATACTGTGTGGAGTTTGGATGGTGGAAAGGAGAGATTTTCTAAAGGAACTAAGGACAAATATCACCCCTGAGATGCTCCTAACACTTATACTCCCCTTTATAATTGAATTCTTGCTGTTACGAAAAAAAAGCTGTTCCTAGTCAGAGTCAGAACTGAACTTGAACCCAACTTACATTGCATCTTTTCTCCAAGCATCCCTTGAACTTTGGAGAATTTCCAGCTGGGCCACAGATCTGCAACAAACTTTTGACTCCTCTGTTTAGAATTGATTTCCTACCATGCAGAATAAACTCTGAAAATTTATTGAAAATCTCCCAAGGCTGTAATCCAACAGCATGAACTGATGAAGGAAGAAGGAGGAAACTCAGCAGTATCTTTGATGGGAAAGGACACAGCTCTCAGCTACCATCTCAGGTAGCCGTGCCCACATGGATTCCAGCTGCCTGAGCACATATTCAGGGTTCTTTGTGCCAAAATCAGCGCTGCTCTGCTTTAACTCCAATCAGTTCCTTAGCTGGTTAGAGTACAACTTTGTGCACTATGAACCCTTCTGACTGCAGAATGCAGAAAGCAACTGAGCGGCATCTCTCAGCTGGATAAGGTCCCAGCAGGAGTGAAACTCCTCCAGATGAGACTAGCATGTTTTATAAATGATTTGCACTGATGCAAATGACAATGCAATGCATTTAGGAACAAAGGAGCAGCTATATGAGATGGTGCTTCCTGCATCCCCACTCTGAACTGAAAACTGTTGACTCTGTAACCTGTCCCACTGTGGGAATGAATAACCTTCATGAACACATGCTGAAGTCATTATGATTATAACACAACTGTAAATGACTTTTTGGTAGGCTATGTTTATTAGATGATAATCTTTAAGGGGGAAAAGAGAGAGGGCATTGGACCAAATTTTCAAACAGGCTCACATTTCCGGATCCTCCGGAAACCACTCTTACTCCCTTGTGCACCCTTGCCGTTTCCATCACTGGATTTGAACCAGCTGCAAGATCAATGAATGAAGAATGCCAAAACATGTGACTTGCCTAAATTCCCATGGGCACTGCTTGGAGCTGATCAGTAACCAGACACAATGCAGGCAAACCTAGTGGTACTGCAGTGAAATCTATCTGCATTGCAATGACTTGGCTAACAGAATATGGCTGAGTAGGGTGACTGCTGCTGGGGAGGAAGAAAACAGGAGAATAAAAACTATATTTCCAGCAGCGAGGCACCTCCCCACTTCGCTTAAAGTTGAAGGAGAGTTCTATAAACATGAATTTATTTTCAGTCTTTTCTGTTACCGATAGCCACAGAGCCGCTACAAATAGCTCTGGACTCAAAAGAGATGGGAAGGATCTTAGCATTTTCCAAGTGGGTTAACACTGAAGAATAAGTGTGTTTTCTTTTTCATTAGAGGAGCTGTAATTATAGAGGTGTAACCTCTTGAAAACCCTTTGCTGAGGACAGCCTAAATTGCCTTGAATGCAAAAGATTAGCTTTCTAACATCTGAGTGTCTTTGTACCACACCCCGGGTGATATGACTGTTGTTTGTGGCTTGTTTCTCTTAACCCAGGAGGAGCATTCACACGTGCAGCGCAGAATTTTCCTTAAGTGAACTATCTCCTTCAGTGAACTATCCTTGCTTGCTTCTTTCAGTTTTGCACACTGCCAACCATTTGTATTAGGAAAGACAAACTGATGGCCTTGGGACAGATGGCAAGAGATGGCGCGCAGGTCCTGTGGGAGACTGTTGTGCTGCTTTGTACCACATGGGACCTGGTATCAGCGTGAATTTGACCTTTCACTTCTGAGGGAGCTCTAATTCAGCCAAACACTTCTTGCAGGGCATCCCCTCCTTGTGAGGGGAGCATGCTGCCCTGCAGCAGGCCTGGCCCTGTGACCCATGCCTGCTGGCAGGCAGACATCCGTCTGCTGCACTGCAGTCCTTGATCTACTACTCTCCCTGGTGGCATCTGGCAATGATTTTTGTCTTTTCTCCCCTCTTTTCAAGAAAAGTGGATGCTTTTTATTCCCTACATCTCAGGGAACAGGCAGTGTGGACTGGAGGGCCTGCCTTTAGAAATGCATTAGAATCTGTAGGAAGAGGGTGGGAAAGAGAGCACTTTGCAGAAGCTAGCTACACCCCTGGCAGAAACCAGAATCCTTTTCTTCAAGTGCACATTAACTGGTCTAAGAAAGCGAAGCATCCCTAAAACCTGATTAAGCTGACAGGAAATTCCCACCGCCCCGTGTGGCTCCTTTCTATGGCACCTCCTTGGCCACATGTGCAGCAGAACTTCCGTATGTACAGCTACTCTAACAGCCTCTTAAGATCACAAGTTCCTGGAGAGTTCTGCGTCTTTGCCTTGAATGTGAAAATAGACCACTTAGCAGAGATCCCCAGGAAATATCCTATGCAATGCAAAAGCTGGATAGAACTTACCTTGATTGGAGAGTACCACTTCCGAGGAGAGGAGGGCCTGCGCATGTTGTTCCCAAGGTTCCTGGGTTCAGGGAACTCATACTCCTGTTCTGGCATCTTGACTCTGGCATTCTTGGCTTTCTCCAGCTTAGCGCCTTCTTCCGTGGAGCCCTTTTCTCCCCAGCGCACCTGAAAAGATAGCATCAAGGCATATTATAACAGCAACTGCTAGAGAGTTACATTCCTGTTGTAATTGGATCCTGGTCCATATTTTCCCTGTGTCCAGATCCAAGGTGAAGAGTGGGGCACAGGCTGTGAAGATTGGAACCCAAACCTTGGACTTTTCCTTCTTTGTGATTCATGAGAAATGTTTAAGTGGAGAAGGTCTTCAGAAAAATTGTCAAAATACTATCTTGTAATTTGTACTGCAACACTGCCCAGCTACAGCACGGACTAGGATCCTGTTGTACTGGAAGGAAAAGACAGTCCCAAACCTAAGGAGTCTATGCTTGGCTCTACACAAGAGCCTAAAGAAGTTTGTGCCTGTCTCCTAAGTATCTTTCTGGGTAAATTGCAAGGGGATATCGTGGCTCAGTTCGCAAATGAGTCCTTCTGATACATGAACTCGTGTCTACTTACCTCCATCCGCTTGATGCCGCCAACCCCTCGACCACCATAATAAGAAGCATCTACTGTTGGCCACTTCTTCTTTGGAAGGCCATCATCATCTTCCTCCTACAAAACAGGAGGTTGCATTGTTAGGGAGCATGAGTAGAGGTGGTAAGGAATAAACAGTCATAGTCTGTGTGGTCCTTTGAGCCTGCTAGAGCCAGCGCACAGTAAAGGTTCTGGTCTCTTGCTGGCTATTTTCCAGAGGATGTACACTCATGAAAACAAAATGTTTCATGATATAAACACCACCACCACTTGAAAGGTACAGTCCAGCTCCAGTAAGAAAGTGTGTTTTCTTTTTAAAGAAGACTCTGTCTTTTATCATCTTTAAATTCAGGGAAGAAAATTGTTTCCGAGTTGCAAAATCATAGAAGCAGCAGCCAAAATAGCATTAAGCATAGCTCAAGAGCGGGGGTCTTTTGGCTGCAAGCCTGGTTGATATGCTAGACATCCGTGATAGTGGCAGGGACTTACCCCTTTGCCATCCTTTCCCTTCCCCTATGCTTGTGGTTAGGGAGGGAAGAGCTGTTGCTGTGATGGGCGTTCACTGACTCATGGCTCCCCATGCTGGAGACAAGATGCTCCTTGATGACCCAGATAAATCATCATATTGTAGTTCAGATTTGACAGAATACAGAGAAAAGCAAGGAAGCAAGAAAGTCAAATTTGCTCCCGAGTTGTTAGAAATAGTCCTTTATGTGAAGGTGAATTAGGAACTACCTCAGTGTGAATGCTCAACAGGGAGAAGAGTTCTTTGAGATGAGTTGGCCAAGTGTAATTAGGACAGAAAGGTCTAATGGAAAAGTTACAAGAATAGAATTAGCTCTTATAATAAGCTTCTGCCTCTGCTGGGGAGGCTGCTCAGGGAAAGCTACGTGGCTTCAGCGGCTTTCTTGGGCTTACACCTGCAGAAAGTCTGGCCCTGTGTGAAAAAGCCGACTTAAATTCTGGCCCTGTGTAAAAATTGAGATTTAAATTCTGTACGTGATTGCATGTGTTTTACATACAGCAGGTAGGAATCTGTGGGACATCACCATACGTAATTCAAGCATGTTCAGGATCCTGGCCTTCGTGATGGCATTCAGATATGGCCCAATTAATTCAATCAAGGAAGTCTCCCTGAGTTTATTTCAAATGGGTCTGGCTAAAGTTCTAGTGAATGTATTCTACATAACAACGTTGCACTGTTCCCAGTCCACACATGCCCTGATCTATAGAGTTCCTTTCCCTTTAATTTCTGCAGTTCAGGCTGCGAACTGGCAAAGCAGAAAAGCAGAGTTCATCAGAAACGTGAAGTATTTCCTGTGAAAAATGTGGAGAGAAATGAAAAACGGTCTCTCTCTTATTTTCTTTCTTTAATTTTTCACAGGGATTTGGCCAAACTCCAAAACTTAATAGCTCTCCAAAACTGGAAAAGCCAAAAATACTTTGAAATTGAACTCCCCAGTAGGAAAACTGAAAAACTGAGGGGAAAAAATCCAAGACAAACTACGCTTTTCATGTCAAACGAGACCATTTTTGTAAAAACAAAAACAAAAACAAAAACTCCCATGAATCTGGCTGCAAAATTTGTCCTGATTTAAAGGAAAAATGAACAACTGAGGCAGAAATACAAGTTTTTTTCCTTCTTAGCTGACCTCTCTTTTTTGCTCTCTGGTTAGCGCTGCTGAGGCTCTTTGCTGCAACCTTAGAACTTAATATCTCTGCATGAAGTTTTCCATGAAGACTTAAAAAAAAATGGAATCAAAGCCATCTAAATATTTTCCTTCAGCAATTCTCTTTCTTTCTCTTCAGCTTAGCATAGACTGGACTTCTCACAACAGGAAATGCCAGGGTTTAGGAAATCTTCCCCACAAGCCCTTAAAAGCCCTGCAAGTCACTTCAGTCTAAGATAGGAGTTCATCTGCCAGAACAACAACAGAAACAGCACACGCACAAAAAGACAACAGTAGACACTTGAAAAACAAGGGAGTCACAAGCTTTCTTCAGGATGAGTCTGTTTATATGTTTTGAAGGGCACGGGAGGTTTTGCAATACAAGCAAGGAAAACATCAGTGATGTCCTACACACTTGGCAAATGTGCTTACAATACATGTGAGTAGCTAAAATAAAGGAATTGGAAACATGGGGGTCAGGGTGGGGAGAGAGCAGGAAAAGGTGAAGGAAGAGGCATATAATACACACCTCCAGCACCCCAGCTCACTGCCCCATTTGTGAGATCTGAGCCAATAACATGGGGCTGAATTCTCAAGTCCCGGCTCAGTTTTGCCCATATTGTTCTACACTTAGCTATAATGGGGTTCTTGCCTGAAGGAAGAACTGCATAAGGACTTCAGCTTTAACCCAGTAGCGGTATAAAAAACAGTCCCAGAAAATTCAAGTGCATTTAAGGATGCTGGAAATTGACTGTACAGAACTTGGCATCTTTTCCACCCCTAAAATCTGCTTTAGATGGAGCTAGAGTTTCTTTTAAAAAATAAGCAGCAGGACAGAGCTACACTTCAGAGTCAGAGATCCCAATTCATAACTGCTGGATTTCAGAAAACAAAGAGCCGTGTTTATCTCAGAGTCCATGCCGGGCTCTGTATGCTTTGACCTTGACCTGAGGGAACCTCATCTGTGGGTAATACAAGGACAATTCAGGCTCCACCAGGGACATACGAACCACTCCGGGTAAGAATTCAAATTAAATTTGGCCAGATATGAAAAAACTTGGACAACCTACCCTTCTCCCCGCCCTAATAATTATTTTCACAGTCGCTTCTACTCTGCCTGAATCTTGTCAGAATTTAGCTTTTATGGAGCGCTCTGCTGGCACAAAGCACTGTAAGACTCTGGCTAGCCATTCCCCTGAGTAGGAGATGTTATCATCCCTTTTTACAGCTGAGGGAACTTGGAGGTGAAATATGATGTGCTCGCAGCCCATGGCTCCCTCCTGACTCCCTTTCCCCCAAAACTGGACTCATTTCCAAATTGCATGGCCACCTCCCTCAGCTGCAGAGGCATCATAACGCCTTGAGGACACCTTGCTCAGTTCAAGCATTCAAATGCCAGCTGCATAAACCCTGCCTGTTCCAAACCACCCCTGAGGAGTTTTGCAAGAAGATGGCCTTGGTATTTTTCATATTTTTGCCTCTCACTAGTGTAAACCTGCAAACTAATGTCAGAAAGCACTCACAGAGCGTAAGAACATCTGAGAGAAGGCCCTTCTACACATGCTCTGCTAAGGTACAGGCTGAAGAAAGAGCTCAGCCTCATAAGGCACCAGAAAATTCACATACAAGTTCATCCTTGACACGCAAATGCTTAGAAAACCATGTTTCATTGGTCTCACTAATTGTGAAACTCCTAGTTTATTTATGGTACAGATTCTTAAAGATCCTTCCTGAGATTACATCCTCCATGTGCAAAGTGCCGCATGCTCATAATTCAGAGAGAATCCCTGTCTTGATGGAGGTGAAGGAGAAAGCACTTTGAGATATTCACACTCTATGGCTGAGACACTGAGCTGCACAAAAATGAAATAATGTGCCCAAGGCCACCCAGGAAATCCTGCTGCAGAACAAAACACTTCAGGTCCCTGGATTTATACCCCTAGCTCCCAGGTTACATTTGCAGGGACTGTACTGCTGGAGATGGTCATGCCTGAACTACGATTGGAGTGGAAGTTGCTGCCCCATGGAGTCTTGCAGCACATAAGTGCTTCTTACAAGGTCAAGAGGATTAACACTAGTGCTCTCTTTCTAACTCTGAGGGTGAAAAACACCCAGCTGTTCACTGCCTCTACGCAAATGCAATTTGCTGTGCTGGGCCTGCCTAGACATTTTGTATTCAATTTGGCTATTAAGCCAGCACCTTCACAGGGCAAGACCTACACCTCATCTGTTCCCAGTAACATCCTAATTCTTTTTCTCTTAAATGCCTGTCTCTTGAAAGGTTCCTTTTCTCCTCCTCCCAGATTTCTGCACCTCATGGTAAAAGGGCAGTAAAAGGGAAGGAAAAGTGCTAGCATACCACTGTGACCTGGCCTTATTTCAGGAATAACAGAATATATTTCCTGCACTGGTGTCTACAAAAAATTCAGACTAGACCCTTGCTCTGGAGTTTATTTTGCTATCCCCCCAGCAAGGCTTTTCAGGAAGAGAGAGGAAAACGATCTGGAAAAGATTAATAAACACTGATAAATGAGGGTGCCAGAGGCTCCCAGAGCAGACGAATCACTGTCAGTCATTCTTTGGCTTCATGAATGTGCAGTTGTATGCCTGGGAGAAAGAGATTAGCTCAAAAGAGGATCGACTTGGTTCAAGCTGAACAAAAGGTTTCATCTTCTGGCTTAATAATAGCTGCCATGTAGTGAGTTAAATTCCGCCTTTTCACGCTGGCATCCTGTAACAATGATAATCACCTTCAACATCTCATGACCGTGTTGCTGAATAGTCCTTTCTCTCTGGGACTTTCTTCTGTGTGTTTGCTTTGGTGTATGTGGGTAAGATGACAACAGACATAAGGATTATCCAATTACAGGCTGGTTGGTGGCTTGGCCCTGGTGCCATGTTAGGGCGGACTGAGGAGCTCGGGTGATAGAGCAGCATGGAAAAAGCGGGTCTGAGTGATGAGGAAAGAGGGCATGCTCTGGTCATCTGGTAGGTTTCCTGCCTAGTTTTGCCAGGCTTCAGGATACTTTGTGGTCCTGAATCCCTTTTGCAAGAGAAAGAGCTGCAATGACAGAAAACGAAGCTACAGCAGTGTATTTTAACATTGCCTGGTCTCTGCTTACGGAGCAGAGAAGCAATGAGAAGACCGGGGGATACTCTGGAGTGCTCCAGTTTACACACCCTCTGACTGTAGTCACAGTCTCTCCTTTTGTGGAACAGCCTCGTGGCAGATCTTTGGCATGGGTCAGGTAGCGGAGAGAAAGTTGTTGCAAGCTGCAAAGAGCCCTCCAACATGTCTTTTTTTGATGTACAAGAGGGGTTGAGAACCAGCTTCAGCCTCTTGGTAAACTCCTGGTCTGAGCTGAATAAGAGTTGTTCCAATAAACTCAGCCTGAAGGTGACGGACACATGAATAAAAGCAGCTGGGTCTTCCTCCAGCAGGGCTAGAAAGAGCCATCCTGTGCACGGGAGGTAGAAGAATGTGGTTTTGATCCACCATCAATGAGTCAATCACAGGCCAGAAAGGTGCTCGCTGGTTCCTCAAGGCATTCACCTCTTCCGATTGGCATTAACTTGATCTTTCCTGGCCGTAAGTAAAACCATCTGTCCTTCATCCAGGCTTAACCTCCTCCAGTGTCCTGCGTTGTCTAAGAAGCACAGCAGTAAGTTGACAACCTTTGCAATTTCTGAATGAATTAATTGGAAGTTTCTGGCCAATAATGATTTCCTTCACCAACAGTGAGTGTGTCTCCAGCATGTCTCAAAAGGCCTTTAAAGCAGAGTTCAATAAAACCTTTGGCGGTTTCCTGACGGCAGTGCTGCTTTCCCTTCATTGTTACAGTATAATGCATTCTCCTTGCAACGCAAAGACATATGGGCCTCAGCTCCTAATTCTGCTGATGCAAGAATTCCTCTTGTCTTATTTTTGCCAAGATTTCTGGGAGAAGAAAAAATCTTACTGTAACTGTAATGCTGCTGCTTAAGGGATGAGCCCTCTTTCATGCTGGAGACGAACAGTTACTAGGTTTTCTGCAGGGGGGAAGCTAACTACAACATGTAAAAAAAACTGGATTGCAGAAAATCCAGTCCATTTTCTGTTTGTTTTTAGCAAAGTAGAAAATCTGGAGTATTCAATCCTCCCTGAAAGCATCATATTACAGCCAGTCCCATTCTCTGGACCAGGCTCTATAACAGTAAATGGGACCGATGAAATGTATCCTTTTAGAGCTTCTGCCATTTTTTCCACTAGTGAGAAGCTCTTCTGTCCAGGAAAAAATGCAAAGTGCAAGTCATAGCCTCAAATCCTATTAATTTTTGAACCAGGACAGAGAGAGCTGTGCAGTTCTGAATTTTAGAGGATTTACGTCAATTGGATCTGAAGAATTTTTGAGTGATTTGCTATCTACAGGAGCTGTCAGTACCCTGCTCTGATGCTTCATGATTTCTAAAATAGTATAAACTACATTTACACCTTTTTAACGCCCTTTTGGCTTTTAATTCTGTAAGGTGGTTCTAGGATAATTGAGTATTGAGCTTAGAGGATGCACTCTGGTGGAAAGTACATGCCAATTTATGTGTATCTACTATCAAACTAGTCCTTACAATGTTGGCACATTGTTGTAACTAAAGCCGTCCATCCCAGGGTCCTGAAACAGTAAGAATTATAGCCCAAGTAGACCTTGTCTTGTATTAGCTGGGAAGCAGGTAAACTACAGATCCAAGATTAACGCCATTTTTCAGGCACTGTGCAATGCCTGAACAGCAAGCAGACCGATACTCTGCTCCTATATGAAGAGGATTTGCCCTACACTCTCCAGAGTACAAGATCAGCCTACTTAAAATGAAAGGCCAGTGGCAAACACATCACTAGAGGAAAGCTGTGAAACAGACAGATGAAGAACTCCGTGGATTCTTCCTCACCATCAGAATTAGGGCTCAGAGAAACTACAACCTGTCCAGAGGAATTGTTACATCAGTTTAACCAAACTGAACCTGAGGTGAATAACAACTGGGATGCTGCAACTGGTCTGTTCTGCAGCAACTGGTCTGTTTTTGCAGCACTTAATGGTTTGAGAAAAGGCCTCCCTTGTATGTGAGGCATGCCTTCCACCTTAGCAGAGATGTAATTTCCCCTTCCACTCCTTTGCCACTGAGCCAGCATTCCAGAATGATGTATTTCAATTAATTTCAGCAATTGAATCCCTTGGCTTGGAGGCATGTGTGATGCAGAACAGAGCATGTGCAATTTTAGGTTAATATTTTCCTGTGCATTCAGAGGACAGAAGCTGACAAAAGCCAGTGGATTTATTTACAGGCCATAACAACAGAAATGGCTACTTAAGAAAATGGATCAGATGCCTGTGTATAGAGGCCTAGGTTGACATGTCGTTCTGAGAGGGGGGTGCCTTCAGCAGCACATGGATCCAAATGCAAATCTCCTTTGGGTCGAGGAATTTTCAGATTTTGGGTTTTGCTTCAGGTCTGTTTCAAAGGGGAAAAGTGCTACCAAGGTGGATGGATGTTCCAGTACTGGCCTCAGCTCCAGCTGCCCTGAACTACTTCACTGTGCTCAGTGCAGGCAGAAGCTAAGTTGGATTCCACCTTGGTAACACTGCAGAGCACTGAGATTTAATGGCCTCTGCCTTGGCATAGAGCACACTCACTGAGCCAGATTTTATGGAGAGCTGGGAGAGGTTCCGTTCAGCAAACTTTCACTTGCAAGCTGAAGCAGGCAACAAATTTGTCTCCAGAGGCAAAAAGCAAAGGGAATTAACCAAACACATCACTCTGAGCATGGATCTAAGTCTTCTCTCACTTACCTAGTTAGGAGGAACTGATCCAAAACCCAGTGAAGTCAATGGAAAAATTCCCATTGACTTCAGTGTGCCCTAGACATAGCCCAGAGACTTTTCAATGAAATCCTAGGTGCAAAACGGTGCAAGCAAAAGAAGAGACCCACTGTGTGCGAAAGCAGGAGCCTATAAAAAGGGGCAGATAAAAAACTGGGCATATTTCTAGGGAGAATCTACTAATTAAGTAATGGTGATGTTGCTTTAAACCAGTTAGTTGCCGGATTCATCTAGAAAGAATGAGCAGCGTTAAGTTGAAGGTTTTAATGTTGCTTTCTTGTTTCCCTCCATTAAAAAGTTCCCTGCCGGTGCAGCTCTTCTGATGTTCAGATGGTTATATCAGAATTTACATCTGTTCAGAATCTGGTCTGCTGTCTTCAGACCCAATGGCAAAGATTGCAGGCTGCTGTACTCTGCCTTTGCTCATAGCAGCAAAGTCCATGGGATCAGCGCTGTGAGTTAGTGCTCAGCTGCCAAGAGTGATTATGTAGGCTAAAACACCAAAATCATTACCGTGCCATACCAGAAAGGCAGTTAAGCATATGTTTAGGTTCCATTAACTTCAAAGTTAAACTGCTTAGGAGTTGTCCTGTCTGTGAATCAGAGCCTAAGTCTGCAGTACTGTTCTGACCAAGCCAAAGAAGCATCTGCTTTTGTCCTCCTTCCCTCTCTGCTCCCTAGAGGTACTGTATGCATGTACCTGCAATCATTCTTAAATAAATAAAAAACAGATCTCTACCTCATGTCTGGGTAAAAGCAAAGTGACCAGAGTGAAGCACACATGGCAGACATCAGCTAGAAAGTCCCTGGTTTAGCTAAACTGCTATTGGGTTTGAGGGCACAGGGCTGAGCACAAATGCTTAACTTCCTGCTGTGGTCTATCTTCTGCCATGCAGCAGAATCATGACCTCTTGTGAGAAAGCGGAACAAAACTCGTCCTAAACATTGAGGAAATCAGGTTGTCGGCGTCACTTACCTCGCTGTCTTCTGCAGGAGGCGGTGGGGGCTCTTTGATGATCTAGAAGGATCAAAGAGAAACAGAATGGTAAATCCATACTTTGTTCTTTAGCATGATGCAAACGTCACTTAGAAAAGGGGTATATGCCACTGTGAGCTTCTCTGAACTTAGCTATGATATTGTGTGACTACAGGGTGAGTGTGTGCGCCACTGGTGTCAGGGTCACTGAGAGTGAGGGGGAAACAGGGGGCATGCCAAAGGCCTGCTGTACAGACTTTCCTAATTACAGCTCTGGTCTCACGTTGCTCTTTATGTGAGCCCTGCCCTGTGTGAGGTCACAGCAAATTCAGAGAAATATATCCTTGATTCTCCAGTTTCCTAATCCCAGTAGGAGCAATAGTCAGTGCTGGCCCTAAGCAACACTGATAGCAATCACTGTTTCACCTGAACAACATGCTAAAATCAGCATCTTCTTCTACCGGACACTGCATATGCATATAGTTCCTGCCTCAAATAATTTACAGCCTAAACGGACAAAGATTGGAAAGAGAAACCAAGGTAAAGTGAAATACCCTGGAGGCATTGCAAAGCAGAAACAACCCAACAACCCCTCCCCCCCCAGGTTGTCTCCTGGGCCAATACTTCATTGCAGAGCACCATGCCACCTCATGCTCTTGTGAAAAATACTTTTCACACTGTCAGGCTAATATATTTTACTCTCATAAGCTCTTTAAAAAATAGGTGTATATATATATATGTATGTATGTGTTTGAGGTCCTCCCAGCATTTCTAACTAATAAAGCAATCAGGGTGAGGTTTTAGACTGGTCCAGGATATTCTCCATAGAAACAATTTAAGTTTATGTGGGTGTGAGGCTATTATTTCATGCAAAAAGTTTGCATCTGAGGCTCGGCCGGCAGTTGGCTATTATCACAGCCCTCCACTCCAAAAGTAACAGAGAGCCTTCCAAAGGGAAAGCAGTTGCATACAGACACGTCAAACATTTCTCCCTTACAGCAGATGCACCCCTGGTGTAAAGCTATTAAAATGAAAAGATTCAATCCAGCCAGTCATGTGAAGACAATTGCCCCAGGGATGGATTTTCTCTGGGAGATTTAAGTCTATCTGGATGAAGGAGCTCTTCCTTTACACAGCAGGCAATGAGTCAGATGCTATCAGGGTGCTGGAGTGCCTCTGGAGACATAGTGAGTGTCCCCAGCCCCTCTCAGGCCTGGATCCTAGCTGACGAGGCTGCCTAGGCATGGGGTGCAGATGTGTAGGCCTAAAAATTGCCCTTCAAAAAAAATCACAGTCCAAAACAGTAACAGCTTAGTTGTTTAAATGCAGAAAATGACTGCTGCCTAAAGGCCCTGAAGATATAAATATTTACAACAATTCCTCTCACTCGTGTTTTTCCTTCTCCGATGAGCTCACTGTTTTTATTTTCTTCTGCAAACCCCGAGTCATGCAATGTGGCCATTAATGAAGAGCATGTGCCCTTGGCTGCGGAGGAGATGGGGGCTGGTTCAGTCTTTTGTTTATATCTCAATCCATAGCAATGATGGCTGTAGACCTCTGTCTCTACCTGCCCCTGGGCAGCAGGGCTCCTGGTGGCCTACAGTGCTCTCGGGGAACCTGTTAAAGAGCCTGCACACACTGGGAATCAAAATCAAGTCTTTGTTTACATGCACAGAAGCACAAAGCACACGCGGAAGCACGAAGCGACATTTGAGGAGTGCAGTATGTGTACCCACTGCCCTGCGCCCAACAATACTCGTTCTGACGCAGCAGAAACATGAGCCAGGCTGTGGCTGTAAAGCCACTGACCACGTTATGGAGAAAGGAGGGGTGATGGCCCAGTGAGAGCTCAGGCTGACAAGCAGAGCTGGTGAGTGTCTGATATAGCATCCCTCTCCCTGCCTGCCCCTGGGATTCCTAGCTTGTGCTTTCAGCTCTGGGGGATCCTGGCTCTCTCCCTCAGGAATTAGCCTAACTCCTTGGCTAACAGGCAAGCGCTGCAGACTGAAGCAGGGCGCACGCAGAAACCACATGGCCTCAAGAGGGACTGAGACTCCCCTCTCCAAGATACATTCATCCTTCTTCCCTGCATCCACCTCCAAAAGTACAGTTTTGCTTCCCCTGAGCTCTTCCAGGGCAGGCCTGCTGGGCGATCTAAGCCCACCTTGGCACGCACTAGTGCAGGGCAGGTTGTGAAGCAGGACATGCGAATCAGCTTGGCTTCCATGGACAGCTCTGCCCTGACTTGTGGTTAAACTCTAGTTGCAGTGTACTGCCCTGTACCATGGTATATTGCTGAATCATTTACAGAGCATGCAGCATTTCATTTGGCGGCACCCTGCACCGTCTTCAGTGAATAATCCTTCTTGATCCTCCAGCGTTTTTCCATGAAGTGCTTTATCAGGTTTTTTTTTTTTTTCAGGTTTTTTCAATTTTTTCAGTTGCGCACTGCTGTTGCACAAGTTGCATGCTGACTGTACTCTGTTTTCTCTGTGTATTTCTGGGATGTACTGATTGCATTTGGGCTGCAATGCAACTTGTTGTGTTCTGTGAGGGTCTCACTGTAAATTCTCTGCATGTTCATTGCGTATTTGTTTGAATAGAATTAATGCTGTTGATTAAGTGCATTCTCCTATTGCATTGATCTAAAGCCAGAAAACGAGAAGAAAGAAGAGGGGAGAGGTGAAACAAATGAGATTCAATTGCTAGGCAAACTTACAAAGATCAGAGATAAATCCACTCAATCATCCCAGTTAGCACAAGTACACATGGTACAGAAAGCAAAACATGGAAAAAATCCTGGAAAACACGTTAGAAGAGATTGATCTTTTGCCATCTCTGCTGGCCCTGCAATTCCTTCTGCAGGATGCCATCCTGACAGCATAAGGCATTGAATTATCTTGGAGAGAGGAAAAGCCCTCTAGGCTCTAACCCTGTTCAGCTTCCTGGGTACGTTTGCACAGCTTTGTACATATATCCTCTATATATCTTTGTGTCCATTTGCCTGGCCTTCCATTGCTCAGCACTTTCTAATGTCACACCTGCTCAGGGTATTTTGAGTACGCAAAAGCTATCTGGCTTGTTCGGCTCAGAGGGCTGAACTAATAAACTGCCTTGATGAAAGACTTCAGCTTTGGGTGGGTGAAAAGGGTCTGCGTCAGAGTACTGCTTTCCGGAGAGGAAATTGTGAGTTACCAGCATGGTTTACTCAAAGTTGTGCTCCTTGTTTTAAGAACATGGAGACAACACAGTCTCTTATACGTATTTCTTGACAGGATAAATACTCACACAGCATGTACAAAGTATCAAAATACACAGAAAACCTTTTTAGCCACACTGCAGCTATGTTTTGGTTACTGGCCACTGTGATGGGTGACACGCTGCAGCAGACCTCCTTTTGAGTCAAAATCCCTAATCCAAACCCACTAGATGATGAGAAATTTCACATCTCTGATCCAAAATATACCCTACTGGAAGTGGCCTTATTCCCTCCTCTGATGTTATTCTGGTGTAACATCATGGATTTCAGCGGAGTTTCTCTTGATTTGCATTGGCATGAAACGTCAGGATAATCTGGCCAACATCCTTGGTCCAGCTAAGGATTCAGACACAACTTCTCAGCCAGTATCACTGGAAACTCTTGAGATTACAGACTTGGAAACGGAGATGGGTGTGATTCCATGTATTTGTGTTCTTTCTTGCAACACACACACACACACACAATTTAATATCAATTTCTAAGAACGGATCAAGTTTTATCCACTACATGCCGAGAGGAAGAAAAAGTGATTACGTCCACTTTTAAAGCTAATTACTTCTAACGGCAACTGAACACCCCATAAGTTCGTGACACAGATGCTGAGAGTTTGGTTGTCTCTGCCTCTGAGCCTGCAGGAACTTTGGAAGTTCAAGTCATATGCAAAACATATCTTCTGTCTTGCAGCCCAGGTTTGGAAAGACCTGTGATCTATAAACGGTACAAATCCTTTCTTTCTCCATTTTGGATCCTCATAGTTACAGCTGTGCACGCACATGGGACCCTCCTTCTGCAGTACTCATAGCAGTGAAGCAAATGGGATTTTTGTCCTGTCACACACAAGCGAGCAAAACAAATGCCAAGTAGGAGTAACAAGATCCCAGAGCCAAAAAGCAGTGCCTTGCTCCTGCTCATTTTTCAGAAACAGAAACGATTACTTAAGTGCAAGAAAGAAAACGCCACTGCAGGGAACCCAGTGAGGATACAGCCTGTACTGGCACAGAAGGCTTGAGTCCACCACATTTTGTTCTGGGCTGCGGCTCTTGCCTTCCCTTCCCTCTGCCTCACCAGATGACACATGGACCCGCTGAATGCAATCAGCTGGGAGCACGCTTGGCCAAGCAAAACGCTTAGGCTAGTTTAGCTTGGCAAAGCCAAAGTGTTTGTTCATGTGTGCTGCAATTGTTTTGATAACCCCAAGCCATTTCTGTGATTGCTGCTGCGACTGTATCGCCTGTCCCTGTGTTTTAAAGAGGGAAATTATGATCAATCATCGACCACGTTCGCTTGCTAGGTGAGGGATACCGAAGGATTTCTGCATCATTATTGTGCTATAAAAAACTCACAATATGGCCACTTGTTTTCAAGCAGCAAAGGCCTGTGGGATAGAGTGGTGGCCCCGGCTTTTCTTGTCAGAGGAAGGAACTTCAAGAGTGGCTGTCACCACTTCTAGGCATTTAGCTGTGAAAATTCAGGACAGTAAAATAATTCCTTGCTTTTCCTTCATCTTTCCTCAAAGATCTCAACGTGTATGCGACTGACACAGGTCTCTGTTAGCTGACATGCCTTGATGTCACAGATGCACAGAGGAGCAGCTGTTTCTGCTGAATGACCCAGTGTAAAAGCAGAGCGATGCTATTAGCCATGTCCTGGAAGCGTAAAAGCATTGGAAAGGACTGCAATTTCTGTAGCCATTCAGGCACAAGCAAAGAGACTACATGTTGAATCCAAATTTTGCATACTCCAGGAATGTGTCTAGGATGTTTTCCATCTTGGGAGAGTAGAA